CAAAGTTGAGTAGCCCCAAACCCGAGGGATTTTTTTAAAAAAAAGTCAAGAGCATTCTACACTTCCCTGTTCACTTTAAAGAAATGAGCAGTCTCATGTGCTGTGATGTACCTCTGCAATATGTGGGGTGCAAAAACCATACACATTAGTAAGTCTTGTGTGAAGTCAAGCACATGCTTAAGTGCTTTGCTTAATCGTGGCTTACTTGCCTTGCCTACCATCACACAAGGACGTCTTTGACAGGGTCAAGGACAGAATACAGATCTCACGGCCCCGTCTAGTCCGTTAGCCACAAAACCTACATTTTATCCCCAACAGCAATATAGACTCATGTAGTCTTGAGAGAAGCCTGTAGAAAAGGAAGGGAATTGGACACAGTCAAGCAAGAGATGTTGTCCACTCCTAAATTAACCAACCTCCCCACCCCCAATCTTGTATTAAAAGATAACATATAATAGAAGTTCCCTAACAATAACTTAGAAAATCTGATTTCCCCTCCGTTCCAATAGCAAGAGCCATTTCCTTTGTCTCAATTTACTTCTCAGCAGGAGAGCCATGCTGATGAAGTATCATCAAGTTGTCAGCTCCTACTGAGACAGACCCAAGCACTGCTCCCTGATTGGAGAGATGGAAGCAGTGACAGGTGTTGCTAAAAACTGTCGGGTTTTAAAATTAAAAAAAAATTCAGAAATAGGAAAGGTCCCCCAGAAGGGCAAAGAAAATTAGGTCGGAAGAGATCAAAGCAAAAATAGGACTGTTTAGTAAAGCAAGGAGCTGAATGCCCAAGGAGGTGACAGACGTATACAGGCACATTAAATGCTATAGAGAAAGTCCAACAGGTGCTGATACTCATTATGTGATTGATAATGCTGGAACGAAAGGTTCACACAATACAATTTAGAAGCTTCCAATCTAAAGGTATAGAATAACGCAGCCAACAATTGACTCAACTCTCCATCAGCTCCTAGCATAACAACAGAAGGCATCGTTAACTGGTGGAATTCGCTGGTCACAAGTTACTACTGGGCCAATGAAATTTGCAGGATTTTAAGAAAAGTTAGACATGGATAACACATATCTATATTTATGAGACTTAGGACACAAAAGCATATTATTGGAGGGATTAGTAGTGCAACCTATCGTTTAGTTCACCTGACACGTCTCATTAGAAGACCCTGTTTTCAGTTGCTTTTTACTTTGCCAGGCGTTAGCATGAAAAATGTCAGCCCAAATAGTTAAGTATCTGCCTGACATTATTTTAATTTCAGCCAACAGGGTTCAGCCATTTCCAAGAACCAGGTTGGAGAAAACTATGTTATAGTGTTTGTATTAAAACAATATGTAGACCTTTTGCTTCGAATGACCCCAGTGCTCCCATGCTTTGGAGCAGGGACTTGAAATTTGACGGGAAAGTGGTTCCTGTCTGAGGGATTTGCTTTTTTCTGTCTCTGTGAAAATGTGCCTATACCCTTTGCGTAACCTAAGCCTCTGAAAAATTGCAGTTTGCACATGCTCAGGAGAGACTTCCTTGAACACGGCTTAATTCACCAAAGATTGTAGCCGCAGTGAGCATGCTCCAGCCCAGAGGTTGGGCAGGACTTTCCTGCAATGGCTTGCAGGCCATGTCCCTTCAGTGTTTGATCTTTGTTGATAAACGTACTCTTGTTTGATTACAAAACCACCTCAGGGCTGCCTGTTAGGATGGTAACATCTGCAGCCAAACCAACAGGCCGACGTTCTCTCTCTTTGGGGACAGCAAACACAATAACTTCTGTGAGGGTCTAAGCAGCCTGCGGGCTGGATGTGCTTCACCAGGGCTAGCCCCTGGTGGGCCGCCAGACGCTTTATTTACCTGAGGTGGCTGCTCACAGCTCCTATTGGCTGCAGTTCACCATTCCTGGCCAATGGGAGCTGTGGGAAGCGGTGGCTCAGCCAGGGCCCTTTAATTGCACACTCCTGGCCTAGTGAGAGGGTGCTGCAGTGGAGAGGGTTTTGGGGGGGGGACTCAGAGATATGAGGTGTAACAAAGCTGGTGGAATTGAGGGTCAGGCCATTGTGCTGTGAGCAGGCGGCTGGGAGCAGGGCTCTGAGCACCCCGAGTTATAGGTAGGTGTTGACAAAAGCCCTTCACCACTCTGGGTGAACCCCCCCCCCCAAGGCATCCCAGAGCATCAGGGGAGAGACAAGGAGTGGACAGGGAGAGGATGGAGGGGACGGGGGCAGAAAGGGTCAAGTTTGGGGTACAAATAGGCAGACGAGCTCATGTCCGCTAGAGTATGCCCCTCCTCAAAGCCTGGATGAAACCTACAATTCCTTAGTCTCATCATGCCAGGGTACCAGCAAATATCAGTGCAACCTTTGGGCAAAGTGTCCAGTCCCCCTCTAGTGCTGGTCGGCAGAGGGTTACAGCCCGTGCCTGCTGTCCTTCACTCTGCCAGCTCAGACGGCAGAGGTCTGTGAGGTGCAGCTAAAGATTCCAACCCTGCACATGAGCCATGTGGAGGCCAACTCTTGTGATTTCTGAGTATTTTTTCCATTTCCTTTTTTAAAAGTTAGGAACTGACACACCCAAACGACATTACACAACGTAATGGGCAACAGCCCTTCATTTCTTAGTCACATACTATTTTTTTTCCTGTGAGATCTCTGCCTCAATCGGTGCTGAGGCTGGATGTCTGTGGGATGAACCAGGACTGGGTAGAGAAGGAGGCGATGGCCTGTAGGATCCCTTCTTTAATGTGTTGCAAACATTGGAAGGTGGGTAGTGAATGGAGCTGGAGACTGCAGGACGGGAAAGGACGGTCTCCTGAGTCAGGCAGTTGAAGGCTGCCTTAGGAATTCTGTCTGTGCCTATGGCAAGTCATTTACACCAGACTTTCCAGAGGGGGTCACTGGGTCCCTGATCAGACCCCAGGATCAGATTTGCAGAAATACTAGCACTCCCAGCTGCAACTGCTGTCAGTGGTGAGGTGCTTTGAAACTAATAGGTGTTGTACAATGCTACACATTCTGAAAAATCAGATCCCCGGTGTTTCTAACAAGGCACTCAAAATCAGAGAGTTCTTCTCACCTTAATCTCTCTGTACTCTCTGTAAAATGGGGATAATGCCATCCCCTCACCTCACTGGGTGGAAATAAATGAACGTGAAACACTTGGGTACCAGAAGGGTGAGCTCCTGAGGGAAGCCTATGAGTGATTCTGTCTGCGGAGAAGGGCTCACACAGCACAGAGTGAATACGCCAGAGAACCACATGCTGAAAAACAAGGGGAAAAAAAGAGAACATTGAATAGCTACTTGTAAGTGAACAGACACCATGTAATGTGCAAATCCTGGCCACTTTAATGTTCCACCCATTTTTGCCCTCTGCCAACCCTCTTCTGCACCGATGTCGATAAATGCACCAGGGGTAGGTTCCCCCCCACACACACACACCTGTTTGATGGAGTGCCCCTAGTCTCCCTATACTCAGGGTTCTTAGGAAAGGGAACTGCAGCAGATGGGGGCTAAATTCAGATGATAAATTGTTTTGCCTCTTTAGTGTGATCTCTTCTCTTTTCTCTTCTCTTTTCCAGCCCATTCTTAAGGGCAAAGTCTCATGGAATTTAATAGGGATGAAACTGGCAGGGTTCTACACGAAGTAATGGAGTTCTATAGAAACCTCATTAATTTAAATAGAGACGAGTCTCCTTTCTATCGTATGTTTGAACCATTCTGTTCTTACAGCCGTGATTTTAATTCTCTCATTTCTATAGGCTGGCTCAAAAATGTATAGAGAGATGGTGATTTCCTATGAAATCCTACAGGGCTTTATAATAGGAGACAACATCACAGAGCATGTAAAGCAGGCTCCACGTGACATATGTCATTGTCTCCTCTGTTCAATGTTTTTATTTGCGTAGGAATTATTTGTTAATCATTAATACTGTCTTATGAAAGGGGGGAAGTAAATTGCGCTCATGAATGTGACCAGTAGTTGATAGGGGACATGCAGTGATAATTACTGGATTTTATGAGCTCTCTGAAGCCTGTACAGGTTAAAAAACATGCCTGTATCAATAGGAGATGGGAAAACATAATATTGATTGGAATATTTGATATATATATTTGTAAGATGCCCAGGTACCATGGTGATGAATACAATATCAATACCTGGCCAGATATTGTCCATTTATTCATCTTCTGTAACTCTCATCCCATACAGTCCTCAAAGTGAAATACAATACGAAAGCACAGTCGCAGTAACACCCTGCATTTATATAGATGTCTCCACTTTTCAAAAGTGGAAAAATAGAATCATCCCCTCTGACAAATGGGGAAACTGAGGCACGGAACAGTGATGTGACAAGCAGCTCATGGCCACTCAGTAAATTTCCTCAGCCATGAACAGAACTCTTTGCTGATTCCTCTGAATAACTGAGCATCGTTCTTGTGTTACATATGGCCACTTACTCACTTGCATTGTTATGGTCTTTACAAGTGCTGCCAGTCATCTGTTTTAATATGTCTAAGCCACTGCTAAAATACCTAGCTATAACTCATCCTGAGGCCACATTGGAATGAATGCATTAGGGATACAGCACAATCATTACAGCCCTCATAATTGCATTTTGACCTTTTCAGGCAAGTTACTCTCGTGGCTTATCACGAATGCATTTAGGTGTAGTCTCTCCTGCACAGATACAGCCTTGGGTCTTGGTTGCCTTTATGAAAGCTACTTTACATTTTTGGCCCACCCTCTGCATGGCTGTTAGATAATTAGTTGCTAAAATAAGTACTTAATATAAATGCAGGAGCAACACAACACAGCTCTACAAAATAGGTGCATTTTGTGGAGCTGTCACTGAGGGCAATATTTGGCTGATGGTTTGAACGATGTTCGCATACAGATGTTATGGAAGGGGGCGGGGGGTTCCATAGTCAAACTGCGGTGGCTTGTTTTTGACTGAATGAAACAGAGAAAGGTAACTAAAAAAAGTTTTATTCCCCAATCAGATCTCAGCAGAGACACCTGTTTCTCAGCTGTTGACTTCACTGGGGCGCCATGCTGGGGTCCTCGCATGTGGATTATGTGGTCTGTTTGGGAACAAGGAGAGAAAACTTTGTTCATGGAAACAGACCAGTGTAAAACTGGAGTCATGTCTATGGCCTGTTCTGTGACAGCAACTATCATGGACTCAGCACTCAAGGTGCCCACCCTGCAGATGGGCTACTGAGATCAACTCAGCCTTAAAGGTACAGAACAGAGCAAATAACTTTACAGTCACATGGACTCATACGGCATGAGAAGATATTTTCTTGTGCCAGTACACATGACTACCATCCTTTTAGAATAGGGGGCATAAAAACTCGAAAGAAGTCATAGCCAATCAGTACCGAGATCTTGTTCCTCAACCCCCAATTCTGTTCAGCCCCACGAGTTGGCCTATCTCCTTGACTTATTTTTAACTTGAAGTTTATTATCAGATTTGATTACATAGTTTCATTTGGTGACCAATTTCCAAAAAAACCAAACATTGGATATATTTTCTAGAGGTCAAACCAGTTCAGAAAAAAACCAAGTGCAATAAATTCTCTGATCTGCCAGTTAAAAGTCCAGCCACTTTGAGTTTTTTAAAAAAATCTACTTGAGTTTTTTCATTTCCAGACTCCTTTATGCTTTCACTCTCTAGCCAGCAGTCATAGATTCCTAGAGTCTAAGGCAGGGATGTGCAACCACAAATAGTGGGAAGGCTGCATGAGTGTCCCTCTTTCAACTCAATGAGCTTCAGCAGCCCACAGCCCACTGGGGTTCCACCTGCAGCCCCACAGCTCCTCCTCTATCTTCCCCCATCCCCTATGCACCTTTCACACACTAAGGCACTGGAGCCCTGCACTTCCAGGCTCTTCCTCCTCCCTCCCAGCACTTTCAGAACACACAAGTCACCTGATTCATGCTCTGTACCTGCTACTCTCCCTCCCTTATGGCTGCAATGCCACAAACAGCTGATTCAAAAGTCCTTGGAGTGGGGGGGAGGAGCAGGTAAGTGTGGGACTCCAGTACTCTAGTGCATGAGAGGCTCATGGGAGAGGGGTCAGAGAGTGAGTCCATGGGCCACAGGGTTGCCTACCTTTGCTCTAAGGCCAGAAGCGATCATTGTAATCTAGTCTGACCTCATGCATAGCATAAGCCATAAAACATCCCCAAAATAATTCCTAGGGCATGTCTTTTAGTAAAACATTTAATCTGCATTAAAATTTACCAGTGATGGAAAATTTGGGAGTCCCCAGCTGACTCTGGGCTCCATGTGGAGCTGCCGCTTTGAAACACCGCATGTAGCCTTACACCGGGCTCTCTGTGGTGTTTCAAAATAGCAGCACCGCACAGAGCCTGGGGTCAGTGGAGGAGTCCCCAGATGATCCTGGGCTCCTCACAGCGCACCACTTTGAAACACCGCGTGCAGCCTGGGGATACCCCAGTTGGCCCTGGGCTGCATGCGGTGTTTCAAAGTGGCAGCGCCGCATGGAGGCCGGGGTCTGGCCTCATGCTCCAAGTGGTGCTACCACTTTGAAGTTCGCTCTCCTTTTCCCCCCTTGCTGCCTCTTTCTGATGGAGGCAGCAAGGGCGGGGGGAGCGACTAGTCCTTCACATCCCTGTTTCAGAGTCTCTGCTTCCCAGTAACCCCCATCTTGTAAGTATGGCCTGCATTCTTTGTTCCCAAAAAAGCAGTGTATTTATACCATATTTGTTGGCCAGAAGCCAGGAAAGCATCCCCATTCAGGAAATTGCTAAAACATAATACTTAACTTCAAGTACTGGAAAAAGTTCAGAAAAGGGCATCTAAAATGATTAGGAGTATGGAACAGCTCCCACACAGCAGAGATTAATAAGACTGGGACTTTGCAGCCTGGAAGAGCTACAACAAAAGGGGGATATAATAGAGGTCTACAAAATCATGACTGGTGTTGAAATAGTGAATACAAAAGAGTTATTTACTCCTTCCCATAACACAAGAACTAGGGGTCACCAAATGAAATGTATAGGTAGAAGGTTTAAAACAAACATAAGGAAGCATTGCTTCACACAACACACCGTCAGCCTGGAGAACTGCTTGCCAGAGGCTGGTGTGAAGTCCAAGACTATAACAGGGTTCAAATTCATGATGGATAGATCCATCAATGGCTGTTAGGCAGGTTGGGCAGGAATGGGGTCCCTAGTCTCTATTTGTGACAAGCTGGGAATGGGAAACGGGATGGATCACGCGGGGTATGTCTGCACTACAGAGTTCTTTTGAAATATCGAATAGTTATTTCGAAATACAGCTGGTCCCTGAGTTGCGAACGGTCGACTTACAACCGTTCGCAGTTACGACCAAAGCTGTCGTAAATGGGGGTGCTTGTCAGGTGGGGTGGCCAGGTGGTTATGGCTCCTGGGTTATGGGGGTGCTGCATGGGGCCCAAACGGCCGCTTGTACTGCTTCCTGCCCCGCGGCGGCCCGGCTAAGCGGTGCAGAACTCAGCCAAGCGCCACGGTGCGTGGCAACAGTGCCCCCTAGAGGTGACTCATAACACTGCAGCGTTACAGAGTCACAGACATTGGGCTACTACATATATGCTAACTTTGCTGTGTAGACATACCCTTGATGATTACCTATTTGATTAATTCCCTCAAGGACACCTGGCATTGGCCACTGTCAAAAGACAGGACACTGAGCTAGATGGACCCAGTCTGTCCGGTCTTACATTCTTAAGCATGTATGCCTATCACACTGGGATTTACAAAGAGGTTTCAATTTAAGCATGTGCTTAAGTATTTTAGGAACATACTTATGTATTTTCCAGAACAGAAATGGACTTGAAAAGCCTGTTCCTAAGTGCTTTCCTGAATTGTGTCCTTGGTACTTTCACCCAGCTAGACGCAGGAAGTATAGGAAGTCTCACAACACAGTTTGCTTTTACATCGTCTGCAATCCAATTCTTCAGAGGCAAGAAGACTGAAAAGTTTTCTGAGAGCTTAGCTCAACCCAAATGCAAACATGACCAGCATTGCCAATCCCAAACTTGCAAAAATCATTAGGCCACAAGAAATACTGAGAGTGGCTTAAAAATATGTATTTTGAAAGAGATGCAAATGTAAGATTCCTTTTATTTTCCTTCTGGGTTTCTGGAACCCAGGGGGGCTGACAGCCCCACTGGCTCCCTAGGCCAGGTGGTGGAGGGCCCTGCTCCATGCCCCAAGAAAGGTCAGGGCCTTGGCACTAGGCAGCCCTCAGTGCTGCCTGGAGGAGTATCATGCCTGCCCCAGACAATCCTCAGTGTTGCCCATAGCATTCAGCGTAGTGCTCTGGCAGTAGTTTAAAGGGCATGGCACTCCAGCCACCGCTGCCATCACCATAGCAGCAGCCATGAGCTCTGGGATCTTTCGTATTGCCAGGCGCTGGGCAGTTGCTCCTTTCTCCCCCACCACATTGGTGGGCCTGCTTGGACCTTTGGGGTTTAGGTTCTCAAGCGTTTCTCCACCATCTCTAGGGCCAAAGACATTTTAGTTTTCGTTAAATGAAAAACTGAGATTCTCACTGCCCCAGGAGCTGGGGGTTTCAGAAAACGATTCACAAAATACGACAAGCCCCAAAGTAACAGTCAATGGGGCAACGCTCAATGAATACGATCATCTCCTCTCACCACAGCTTCCCCCACAGTCTTCATGTCACACAAAGAGCACAGAGAATGGTCTCAGCCACCTGAGGTCTGACACTCACAACTCTGCTGGTGCCAAGGGACGAGGCAGGAGCTCAGTGCATCTGAACACCAGACCCTGTGTGCAAACCTCTTCCTTTCCATTCTTACTGCTGACCTGGACCGTTTGCTCTTTTTTGATGAGACACGTTCTACGAGCTCAGCTGTGCAAGGAGCAGAAGAATGGCTAAGTGCTTAGGGTGTGGGCCCCAAGGAGGGACATGAGTTCCATTCCAGCCTCTGCCACATACTTCCTATGTGATCTTGGGCAAGTCACTTAGTCTCTCTGTGCCCCCATTTCTCATCTATAAAATGAGGGTAACAACCCTGCCGCACTGACTATAAAGGGCTCAGATGCTATGGTAATAGGGTAAATATCCTACATAGATGTCAGGGCAATATAATAACTGATCAGTGTGTTACTAAAGTAATTTTTACTTCCCATTTACTTTTATTCTAGTCTAAATATTTCATTCCCTTTCCCCTAATGATCCTGTTAATAATAGATCTGTTTGGTTTGATGATAGGGAAAGGTAGAAACCTATGAATCCAGTTAAGTGAATAAGTACCCAAATAGATGTTTGTAAATTGTAGAGGGGGTGCATGCCAGAGGCTTCCTTTCCTCCATTCTTTTGATCCCAAATGTCCAGCCTAACTTTCATTCCTGACTGAAGCAAATTGACTTCTAGAGGTCAAGAGTCCTGTTGGCTGATCTCTTGCTATAACCACCTGGCCACCCCACCTGACAAGGGCATAAATATTTCTATTGAAAATCAGAAAACAGTAATAAAGAGTGGAAAACCAGAAATCATTCCTGAGGATAGCACAGCTACCCCTTATGTGTGCTGACTGAAAAGCAACCTTTAACCATTAGGCTACGTCTACACTGCAGCCTTTTTCCGGCAGAGAGTATGCTAATGAAGCGCTCATTAGCATTTGTCACACTGTCGTTTGCATATTCTCTGCCGATGCTTTTCGTGCAAGAGGTTTTTGTGCAAAAACAAGCTTGTAGACAGGTCCATTTTGTGCAAAAAAACCCTCAAAAAAGGAGGTATAAGGATCTTGCACAAAGGGGGTTTTTTTTGCACAAAACGGACCCATCTACACTGATGGTTTTTGCACAAAAAGCATCGGCAAAGAATATGCAAATGACAGAGCAACAAATGCTAATGAGCGCTTCATTAGCATACTCTCTGCCAGCAAAAGCCTGCATTCTAGACATATCCATAGATATGATGGAGCCTTACCTCATCTGGCAAACAGCTACATTTGGGTAGTAAAAGGTACACTTTAATAGCTACAAACTTGAAGAACAAAGTGGGGGGAACGTGTCACAACATCAGAGGCCTCACTTACCTGTACTGAAAGAGGTGTATGTATTTACAGTGTTTACCTCGCACAAGCAAAGAGCGAGGCAACCCAAAAGTCTGTTCTCAAAACCCGCCCTCCTAATATGTATTCAGTACTTTCCTAAGTTGCAAACACCTGGGAACTAGCATAAGCTGGAGGAAAACATGGATTTCTCCCTGCTGGTTCCGCGTTGATTACAATCAAAAAGGAGGAACTGGAAGGGAAGTGTATGTGAGTGCATATCCCCCAGCCAAGATGAGCTCTTGTTGTTTGACTCTTCTGTATTTTTTTCTCTGTTCATTAAAAGTGCAAACTCTGTAACTTTGCACAATGATGTGATAGCATCATTCCCACATGGTAACAAATGTTACATTTCATTGGGATGCACAGCTTTTAATTTCGAGTTAATACAGTACAGAGGGTTTTATGTCCAACGTTTCAAATGCCACAACATGTTGATGAAAAGAAATTACATTGATGAAACAGTTTGGCAGTGATTAATATAATCCATAACTCATAGTGATGTAACAGCTTCAGTAGTTTCTCTTCCACAAAGTGATGTCCAATTACTTGCTATTGATCAGATATTGCATTGCACCAAATGGAATGCCAGCATCAATTCATTCCATCCTATTGAATTTTGGCCAATGTCAATGGATAGCTGGCACATGTTTCCCTGAAACATTTGTCTGCCATCAGGGAGTTGATTAACAGGTTGGCAGTTTTTGTTTGTGATAGGGCGAGGGGAAGAAAAGAAATGTGCAAATTCTGTTTGTGAATTTGTCCTCATAACTGTCACCGAGAGAATGGGATTATTTTTCCCCAGGTCTAAATTTGTTTTATGCAAGCAGCTGCATGCGCCTCTCAGACACGTTAGTATTCTATGCTTCTGTTCACTTATTTTTTAATTGATAACTGGGTGAAAAATTAAAGACCAATAGCTACATAAAAATTACACCAATCTTGTTCTGTATCGAGTTGTATGCTCAGTCATACCTCATGTTAGAAATTAAGCTCTGGAAAGCCAGCATTCCTACCTTCCTGTATCATTTCCTCATGCAAAACTCATCAGAGGAAGCATACGTGCCAGTCAAAATTTCCACAGAAGGAAGCAGAGGCGAAGTGCCTGGGTTGTCTTAGGACACCAGTTTTGACTCACCACCACATTAACCGGTGCTTTGGGCTTTACATTGCTTCAGCTCAGCTGTTGAGGTGTGATGTGGCCAGCTGATGTGTCATTCATTCTGATATTCCCTTTCCTTCGTTTGGATGGTTTTTTTCTCATCCTGCTGGTTTTGGTACACGTGTAACATTATTGTCATATTCCTTTGACAAAAAAAATCCCTAACAAGTGCTGTCCGTGTACATTAACCTCTCTCGGGATGTCGTCTGTCACGCGACTGACACAGGGAGGATTACTCGGCAAAATGGAACAACATCTGCCATGCATGCTACAACTTCCCCTAGATTCCTCGCACCTTATTTTCACTTTCAGCTCTGAACAGGAGTGAGATTTGTTCTGCTGTTTCTCAGCTGCCAGGGGGCTGGGAGGATGCCATCCTTCGACAGCCAGCTGAGAAGATTAAGAAAACAGCCTTGTTAAAACTGGGCATTAAAATAAGAGTTGTCATGAGCTGTCTGCAATGCTTTGCTGCTGATCCCTGAGGGCCTGGGCTTGGCGCATGTTGCTAAAGAGCACGCTGCACTTCTTTAGGTTCCTTACATAAATATTGTAGCTGAAAAATTACAAATGTAGGAGCCCAAGCTCGGCAAGCACATACACACGCTTAGCTTGGTGCATCCCATAGGAATGCTCATGGGTGCCAAATGAAATGCATATGGGATCGGCCTTGTACCTTAGAGACCAGATGGTGTCTCTTGGAAAGCTCTGCAAAATATTTTATTTAGAAACAATTCTGCTGATTCTTCTAATTGCCTATTTATTTAGTGATAGTGAAGATGTGCTTGACACGATGCATGCACCGAGAAACAGTTCCTTCCCCGAGGAGCTTGCAATGCAACTAACTACAACCACATGGACAGAAGGGAACTTGTCCCCTGATCTGTGTTTCCTAAGAGTTCATCTGTCTCCCTCTGAAGCCAGGAGTCGGATTTATGGCAGGGAAGAGTTTTGTAAGGCAGGACTGGCTTGCTTGTTTGATTGAGTGCACAGGTCTGCACTGAGCAAAGTGCAGTATAGCGTGAGTCTGGAAGGAGAAATGTTTTCCTGTCCTAGTGCGGTGGAGAAAAGATTTAAAGAATAATCCCAACAACATTGGATTGTTATTCTATGGACAACAGTGTTTTGTTTTGTTTTCTTTTCTTTTACAAGCTCTGTTTGCTGCAAACTTCACTAGAAAGAAGAGAAAAAATAGAGACTGGTTTCTCTCAGCAGAGTTTCTCTTTTTTCCCAAATGGAAAGCTTTTAAAACAGTGATGAGCCTTAGCCAAATTCCTCCATGCAGATATCCACAGAACTTTTCACGAATTCAGATCCAGTTCTAGAACCAAGAAAGTCTGCAGTTCTGGTCTATCTCCAGCTTCATTATTCTGCAATGCATCAGGGCTGGAATTGAAGCAAAAACAGAAATATCACAAGAGATGTGATGATATCATGAACATTGTCACTGCTGACGTGGCTGTAGGTTGCATTATGTCTTCCATGGAGACCTCACTGAGATTTCTGGGGAAGCTGCATACCAAATACTGAGGGAGCCAGTAGTTCTCCCTCCCAGGCTATGTCTAGACTTCAGGCTTCTTTCGGAAGAAGCTTTTCCGGAATAGATCTTCCGAAAAATCTTCTTCCGAAAGAGCATCTACAATGCCAAAGCGCATCGAAAAAGCAATCTGCTTTTTCAACAGATAGCATCCACATTGAATGAACGCTATCTCACATGTAAACTGTGATTACTATGGTCGGAGTGGCCACCAGGGCACCTGTGCTTTTTCCTCTTTTCTCTTCTTTCAAAAGAACTCCCTCTTCCCCGTCCACACATGCCTTTTTCCGAAAGAACTCTTTCGGAAAAAGGCTTCTTTCTCGTAGAAAGAGGTTTACCAATATCAGAAAAACCCCTCTGTTCTTTCGATTTTTTTCAAAAGAATACAATTGCAGTGTGGACGGAAGTGAAGCTATTTCAGAAAAACAGCCGTTTTTCCAAAAAAACTCTGCAGTGTAGACATACCCCCAGTCTGCACTCCAAAATCTCCATTATACCGGAGGAAATTTAGAGTCACTTCCTTGAGTGTTCTAGTATTTAACTCCATCATTTAACTCCATTCTCCAGGGGATCTGGGAGAAGATTCTGGTCTGAGATTGTGTTTGGGAGGGTGGGGAGGGGGGAAGACTTTTCATTCACACTGAGATAATAAATTCTGCAGAATTGGGGTTTAGAGCCGATATTATTGCTGTATTTGTGTGTGGGGGGGAGGGGGAGGAGGAATAGAGGAAACAACAAGATTTATCCAAAACTCTGCCCATGGCAAGAAGCTTCACAATTCTAGACGGCCCTCAAATATTTAATCAAAATACAGTAAGAGACTTTAAAAGAAGAAGGCAGTGAGATAGGCATCGTCTGATGCCCGTGATAGGAGAGCCCTGTAATTGAGCTGGAGTGAAGGAGCAGTCTCTCCCCTCACACACAGTGATATTACATTTTTTCCACTTGGATGCCCACTCCAAGCCCACTAATCCATGGATTTCAGAAGGGATAATCCACTGACATCCAATTTTCTGAGAGCCCCCCCCTCCCCCCGCCTCCACTGAAGCAATTTGTTCCCTGAGTGTTGAAAGCGTTAACTCTT